ATTTGGTGTCCTCTTGTTCTGGTCAAGTGATATCAAGAACATCATACAGGCAGAAAGCAAAAGATCATTAAAAAGACAAGAAAGAAGGAAACAAACAAAAAGGTTGTCAGCTCACTAATGTCTAGGATATCAGTCTTCATGCATTCCATTTCATTTTTGATGACTTCCAATTTTCCTAGATGCATACTTTGTACATTACACATTCTGATTATTAATGGATTATCTGCAATTGTTTCTTTCCATTTTGAGTTGTTTTCCATCAGCAAATGAAGATCTAATAAGTTTTGCTCTATGCACATCACTAAGGTCAATTCTAATTCAAGAAGGCAGTTCTTCCCCAGTATTTTGAGGACCTTGTAACCTGAGGGGTTCAACTATAGATGACAGTGTTTCACTGCTAGTCATAAAATTTCCATGGCTAACCATTCAGAAAGGAGCTCTGGTAGCGTAGTGGTTACGAATCGGGCTTCTAACCTCAAGGTCAGCAGTTCAAAACTACCAGCTAGTCTGTGGTAGAAAGATGAGGCTTTCTGCTCCCGTAAAGATTTACAGCCTCGGAAACCCTGTACAGGGTCACTATGAGTCAGAACAGACTCCACGCCACATAACCACCAACAACAACCATTCAGAAGTAGTCTGTTTATCCTCCTTCCTAGTCTGTCTTAGTCTGGAAGCTCTGTTGAAACCTGTCCACCACGATATTTAAAATACCAGTGGCATAGCTTCCAGCATCACAGCAACACACAAGTAACCAATGCCTGACAAAGTCTCATCATCCTAACCTTTAAGGAACATTCTGGTTGCACTTATTCCAAGACAGATTCATTTGTTCTTTTGACATTTCAAGGTACTTTCAATATTCTTCTCCAACAGCATAATTCAAATGCATCAGTTCTTTCCTGGTCTTCCTTATCCATTGACCAGCTTTCATATTCATCTGAGGTGATCGATCATTCCAGAGCTTACGTCTGTCAGGGCACACCCTTAATCCCCAGTGTGACATCTTTGTTCTTTAACACTTTAAAGAGGTAAAACAATGCTTTTATTTAATGTAGCTCTTTGCTTGATTTCTTTACCTCTTCCAATAAGTGCTGATTAAAAATGAAATCCAAAAAAAAATGAAATCTTTGACAACTTACATCTTTTCTCCATTCATCATGATGTTATTTATTGGTCCTGTTGTAAGGGTTTTCACTTCCTTAACATTGAAATACAACCCATACTGCAGGCTGTAGTTTTTCATCTTCATCACTAAGGCGCTTCAAGTTCTCTTTGCTTCCTGCAAGCAAAGTTGTATCACCTGCATATCACAGGTTGTTGATGAGTCTTCTTCCAATCTTGATGCCACATTCTTCTTCATGTAATCCAATTTCTTGGATTATTTGCTCAACATACAGATTGAATAAGTATGGTGAAAGGATTCAATTCTGAAACACACCTTTCCTGAGTTTAAACCATTCAGTATCCCTTGGTTCTGTTTGAATGACTGCTTTTCGGTCTATGTACAGGTTCTTCATAAATAAAACTAAGTGTTCTGGAATTCCCATTCTTCTCAATGTTATCCATAATTTGTTATGATCAACACAGTTAATGACTTTTCATAGTCAATAAAGCACAAGTAAACATCTTTCTGGTATTCTCTGCTTTCAGTTAAGGTCCAACTGACATCCACAATGACATGTCATAGGAGGGACCAATCCCTGGAGAACAGGATTGTCGATGGAGCTGTTGGATAAGCACTGGACTGCTAACTACAAGGTCAGCAGTCCAAACCCACCATCAATCCACAGGAGAATGATGGTGTCTGCTCCCATAAAGATATATAGCTTTTGAAACCCTTTATAGGGTCACTATGAGTTGGAACTGACACAGAAGCACTTAACAACAACAGCAATTCCTGGAGATGGACATCATGCTTGGTAAAATAAAGGATCGATGAAAAAGAGGAAGTGCCTCAATGTGATAGATGGACACAGTGACTTCAACAGTGAGATCGAACAGAGCAATGACTGGGAGGATGACCTAGCACTGGGTTGTGCTTGGTTTTGTTGTACTTAGAGTCAGTATTGGAGTCTTGGTGTGGTGCTGTGGGATAATGCCCTGGACTGCAAAGGTGATTTGAACTGCAAGG